GGCCTAGGGCCTAGGGGCCTAGCGACTCCTAGCTACCTAGTCATAGCGACCTACGTGCAGCTTGAAGTTTTCCAGAGTTTTTCCTGCAGTTGGCCCCGAAGACCCAAGCCCTTGGATGTGGAGCAATGGAAACTTTGCAAGAAAGCTTGAATTTAGATCTAGGTCTTCTAACAACACCAAAGCTAGAACACCTAGCCCTATGCCTATACTTATACTGATGTAGGACTAAAGAACTTGTCGTCATAATGTCCTTTTTCCCTTCACTTCCTCGGTTGTTTGTTTTTTTCGTTTTTACGTGCCACATTTATCATAGCCCTGACCAGGGCCTGCTTTCAGTTGGCGAGAAGAGCACTTTGCGGGGCATGCTTTTCGACAAATGGGAGAGCCTGTGTGACATGATTTTGCACACAGACCAGGAGCCAGTTGAAGATGTTGCAGATGCTCTTCCAACTCGCTGTGCACAGCTTGGCATGTGTGTTTGTGAATCTCGTGGCTTGCAAGCCTACCTCTTTCACAGCAGGCTTGTGTACTGTTTGAAGCCGTTCTTCACACCCAGGAGGGCCCGCAGGATTCGGGATGCTTCTGGCAACATGGTGGCCCAGGAGCTGTCGCAAGCCCAGCAGCATCAGCAGACAAAGCTGAAGTCCAACCGAAAGCTTCTGGATGATGGTTTCGTTGTTGTCTGCTTGCGGCCATCCAGCCGAGCTGTCCCCACAGAAGAGGTTCTGCCTCAGAAGTACATGCACTCCTCCTGGAAAGCTTTGGCCATGGCTGCCATGAATGTCAGAGTGGAGGGCGGGGCAGATTCTCCATCTGCCTTGTGGCTCCATGTCGGTCATATCAATTACACGACGTGGGCTCTCGGTGTTTTGCGTCTGGACGAAGCTGGTGCTGATGAGGATCGGCCCGAGTACTTGAAGCTTCAGGTGCCCACCCCTCAAGAATATTGCCATTCTGTCCGAATGTTTGAACAGAGCAAGTTAAACTTCGATGGCCCGTGGCAGTTCTCTGTCAGCACGATCCTGAGCAACAATGATGTGCTGGAAAGGACCAGCATGCGACCCGACACGGTGCTTGTGAGACAGTATGCCGAAGTGCCCAGCATGGAATTTTGGCAGGGCTGGCCTGCAGAGGAGGCACGACATGAGCAAAACATGAAGAAGCGATCTGGAACTTCAACGCGCAAGCGGAAGAAGACTCCTCCTTCAGACACAGGCACTGCCAAGAAAAAACAAAAGTCTGCGGCCGGCTCAGCAAGAGACACTGTGGAGCAGCCTTTGCCTGGAGGCGGACCGGAGGAAGATCTGGAGCAAGATGCAGTGGACCCAGCAGCACAGCTAGATCTCCTGCACGATGAGGAGGTCCGCAGCGAGGCCTCCAGCACTCCATGGTCTGAGTACGTGGCCGATGCATTGGAGGGGGAGGATCCCGGAGATGATGGAGGCTTGGGAGCGGAAGCCTCCGCTGCTGCAGAGCCGGAGATTCATGCAGATTCTGTCGATCATGTCGATGCTGCGGAAGCAGCCCACCCACGTGCCGAACCTCGCCCGACAACTGTTGTCGGCTTCAAGAGTTTAGGAGACCTGCGCTACAATGCCAAAGATTCTCACATTATGGCGGTTTGCCGTCATCCTGATCATATTGACTGCAGAATCACCCGTACAGTCAATGCAGCTTCAGCTGCACGACAGATTGCGACGAACCCTGCACAGGGAAGACCGCTCGGTTTTCTATGTGCCTGGCTCAATGCTGCAGGACGGTGCAGCTCGGCAACAGAGCACAAGCAGTTGGCAGTGCCTCGACATCTCAGCCTGCAGTCTAGGCAGGAAGCGAGAGCTGAGTTCATGCGAGAAGAGGAGGCGACGGCCATTGCCAGTATGGAACGTGCCCGGAACGACGGTGAGCCTGACG